TGATACTGACTAGCTTTCCCGTGTATACAAAATGACTGTGTGTAATGATGCTGGCTTGCAATGTATCTGAGGTGAGTCTGTGGCTGATTGTGTGCGTGTGTGTTTGCAGGCAGATGATGGGCTGTTGTTTCCGGACAGGGCAACTTTGTACATATGCGCGATAGAAGACAGACAATACAAAGACGACAAGATCAACTGTAAGTCGACCCTTTTGACAATTTGCTGGCATTACGATGTTTGATGGCGGCAGTTAGGACGTGTCCAACACTGGGACTGGTGCTCAGCGTTGTCTATGTCGTGTGTGTATCGGTTGCTGCACTGCCTCTACTGTTTTCCGGCATTCGTTCACGAATATTATGATGTATTGAACAGTGGCGAATAGTGTTGTGAATTGCTATGATGTGTTGGTTGTTAACTCATTCCTGCTGTTGCGTATACATGCTAATTTGACGTGCCTGCGTTTGCCGAGCCAAATGATGTTGTGCATTGTTATAGCACATATCAGTTGCTGTCTCTTCTCCGCTGCTGCACACGTTAGTTTGATGCGGTTGCGTTCAGTCAGGCAAGTAGTACCGTGTGTCGTTGCCGTGGCGTGTGTCGGATGCCGACCCGTCCCTGCCGTTGCGCGATCGAGCGGAAGCGGTGGTGTGACGTCGTTGCCGTGGCGTGTGTCGCATGCCGACCCGTCCCTGCCATCGAGCGGCAGCGGTGGTGTGACATCGTTGCCTTGGGGTGTGTCGCATGCCGACCCGTCCCTGCCGTTGCGCGATCGAGCGGCAGCGGTGGTGTGATGTTGCGTGTTGTGCTTCAGGGTGGGACAACGTGTACGGCTTCGACATGTCGTGCATACGCTCGGTGGCGATCACGGAACCTCTCGTTGACGTCGTCGACCCGAAACAAGTCATCACAAACTCCTGTCTGCTGAAGGTGAGTGTGTGTGAAGGTGTGCCCTCCCGAGCGACATTCCCCGAGCAAACCTTGGTTGCTATTGACGATCTAAACGATTCTTTTCGACTGGCTAATGAATGAATAAGTAATAATAACTGGCTAACTGCTATCTTAATATGTTTGTTACATAGTCACGTTGTTGTAACATAACGTTAAAGTTAAGGTGAAGGTTAGTGCAGCAGTCAAGCAAACCTTGCATCGCGATGACCGAAGAGAATGATTCGTCTTAGACTGGCTATTGGATTTATCCTAATATGTTAGTTATCTAGTCACGTTGTGGTAGCGTGTGTGACTACTTGGTGCCTGCAGCGAATGCTCTTCCCTGGTAGCTCGTGCAGCACCAATGCAAATGATGACTATTTAATGTGTACTATGCTACATATGTAGTATGTATATGTAATTATATTCACAAACTTATATAACTATAATACATATATTTTGTCATACGTGTGATGACTATCGAAAATGGAACACCGAGCTGGTACGGTACGGTGTTGCGAGGGTGGGCGTGTGTTTGTCGTTGTTCTCTGCGCGTCGTTAACGCACACGTCGTCTGCTCGCAGGAGGTGGACCTGTATACGGTGAAGAAGGAGGACCTGACCTGGTCGTCGCCGTTCCACCTGACGTGTCGACGCAACGACTACATACAGGCCTTCGTCACGTTCTTCAACGTCGAGTTCACCAAGTGCCACAAGCGCACGGGCTTCTCTACGGGTAGGTGGCGCCCCCTGCGTGCAGCCGCGACCTCGACGTTGCACGTCGACTCTTGTTTTGTTTTTGTTTTTTTTATGAAGAGGAAAGGCAAGTGTTGCTTTTCGGCTTTAGTTGGAAATTCTGGGATACGACGGCTGGTTGTTGGATGTTGAACTGTTCCGTGAAAATGGGGAGACATAAGCAAATTATTAGATTTTAACAATTCAAACCTCGATGCACGTATCAATAAGAAACCCTCCTGCATTAAAAACAGCAACATGTGATAATAATAATAATATTAATAATTAGTAATGTCACGATCATCGATTATACTCGATCAGCGGTTGAACAGTGGCTCGAACCAAGCGCTTGGTTATCAAAATCCATAATCGATTTCATGGGGGGGAAGGAAAAAAAATATTCGAAATAAATGTAAAACTTGAACAAGAAAATTTGGAAAAGTGATGAGAATCAGAGATATCATCGCTACTATACAAGTTATCCTTTATTAACATACATGTATTATACACACAGTAGTAAACAGTGCAAAACAAACAGTAAACAGGGCTAAACAAGCACATACATGCACACGAAGTTACGCACACGCAGGCATTCAACACCCAGAGTAACCGATTGTAACCGATCATCGGTTACTTGGATCCAACCGATGATCGGTTACGAAATTACAACCGATTGACAACACTATTAATAATGATTATAATTAATAATTATATTAATAATGATGTTGATCGTTGTGTTTCACTGTCTATGCAGCTCCTGAGGCGCCCTACACCCACTGGAAGCAGTGTGTCTTCTACTTTGAGGACTACCTGACTGTGAAGAAGACGGAAGAACTTGTCGGAGTCTTCACGATGCAGCCCAACTCAAGAAATAACGTACGGCGCCATCTATATCTCTCTCGATCGCGTGGCCGCCATCTTGTATTCATCGTCAAAACGGTCGCCGCATGCGATTTGAATGCCCAACACGAAATTCGTTCGAGTCGAGAGTTGGGCCGTTGCCCGCGCATAACTTGTTTGGTAATAGCTATTTCGTTTCGTCGTGCATTTATTTTTAATCGGACGATGCTGATGCTGATGCCTCGCTGATATTTCTCCCTGCAGAGAGATCTGGACTTCACCCTTGACATAGACTTCAAGGGCGAGCTGAGTGAGATGACGCAGCACATAAAGTACCGGATGCGCTGATGACGGGGTGCCGCGGCCGGGATCGATCCCTGACCCGCCCGCATCTCGCGGCGCGCCGGGTTGCCGTGACGACGGCGCGGCCAGTCGAGTTTGCTCTCGTGTAATTATTAGAGAGTGTCTTCTGCGTTCAGTTGTTCACCGATCCGAACGTATATATATACCACGGTGCAGCGGGAATGTATGCTTTCTTCGCACAAACGCATGTGCGCAGAACGTGCACATCCGTACACAAAGACAGATACAGACAGACGGACACAACATACCTTCGCACGCACGCACGCACGCACGCACAACATCCCGCACGCACGCACGCACAACATCCCGCACGCACGCACGCACGCACAACATCCCGCACGCACGCATGCACGCACAACATCCCTCACGCACGCACGCACGCACAACATCCCGCACGCACGCATGCACGCACAACATCCCTCACGCACGCACGCACGCACAACATCC